ACAATTTTTTCCTAATCTAATTATCTGCATGCAGTATGTCCGTACCTGTGTGGTAATCACAAGTGCCCAACTTGCAAAGAAGGATATCTTCCTACCGTAAAACGCTTTGATTATAGTCACAATATTAACCGCATACGCCGGTCCGCTACCAAACCCGGCTCCGGCGTTTGCAAATATTGAAATCAGCACGTGCTCTTTTACGTTAAATTCCCCCGGGTTCAACGAGTATGACTTCCCACGAATCCAAACCTTTCTCCTCGGCAGCGTCCTAGCCATGAACCGTCCGATCGGCAGACTCGCCACCTGCACGGAGATCATCGATATCACAAGCGGCTCCGTGCGGTAAGAGAAGAAGGTGTTGAGGAATGAGAGTAGAATGCACGAGAGCATGCCTATAGTCCACATCCGGAACGTCCATACGGGGAGGGAACTGTCGTCCTCGTTGGAGACCGTCAGTCGGACCTGCTCAACTGATGACACGTCATCGTCGTTCTCACTCTCATCGAGCTTAGTTTTAGCAGCGGCCTCCACTTCTAGGGTGGTGACCTGGGTGCCCATGGGGGAAGATAGGGATGGAGAGTAGAGAGATTTTTGGAGGCAGTGTGTGTGTCAAGGGTTTGGATGGTGAGTGTATGAATGGAAAATGAAGGGTTTTTAAAAGTGCTTTTACAGTTTATTTACAAAATTTGCCATTTTGGATTTGGTCATCGACATTGGTTGCCGGCCGGTATTGACAAGAAATACATAAAGGAGTGACGATTCCAAATTAAATAAATTCCGTTTTGATGTGGACATTATCGATACTTTCATCTATATATGATTACGATACTCATTAAGCAAACGAACAAAGAAATTAAGGTCCCATTTCATATTACATTTTTTTCACCAAAAATTGCTTCACTTTAAAAAGTAGAGTTGAACTTTAATGAAAACTTTAATGAATATTCTTAATTCATGTAATAGTAATACCCTCATTAATTGTTAAACTTGACATTTCCTTGTACATACATATAAAACTTAGAGAACAAAATGACCACCTACCAATACAACCATTAATCTTACATCACCATTGCCACTATCACCACAATTGTTGCCAACAACATCACCATCGACGCTGCAACCACCACTACCCCCACCACAACCACAACGACCAAAACCACCACCATAGTTGTTGTTAATGTCATCATAATTGTGACCATCGCCGCCACCACCATCACAACCACTACCATTACCACAACCACAACCACAACCATAACCTCCACCATAACCACCACTACTACTATCACTGCCTCTACCACCATTGTAACCTCTGCACCCTCCAACCACCACACCCCTTTTTTTTTTTAGTACATCGATATTTTTACACTAAGGGAATGGAGAGTTCGGCAAAACCACACAAGGGGCAGCTTAATTTGGTATCGAATTCATCATCCACAAGATTCAAACCTAAGACTTCTCACTTTCAAGTGAAGAGGAATATTAGCACTACTAATCTACCATAACAATTGTTGTTGCCACCATCACTATCGCTAGCCTAACTCATCACTGCCACTACTATTGTCATCGCCATCTCCACCATTATTGTCCTCACTGCTTAGGACTGCAACGACCAGCATTACACCACATCACCACCACCATCATTACCACTACCAATAAAACACAATCACCACCACCACGTTGCCACTACTGTTACCTCTACACCCAAACCATCACACCCTATTATTCGCACCACAACCACACCCCCCACCATTGTCATTGCCATCACCGTCACTACACTCAACACTGCTGTCGTTGCCACCACCCTACTACTATGTCTATTTTTGTCATTATACACTATTTTGTCACTTTTACAATGAAAATTACCAAACGCTTTTACATTGTTTTTCCTACTCACAACACTTTTAAAAATACAGTTTATCAAATGCTCAACTGCTTTATTTTTTAGATGATTATTCTCAAAGCACAACAGAAGCAATTTTTTAAAAAGTACAGCAATTCCAAGCTAGCCCTAGATCGAGTAGATATGTCTAATATAACTCATATTGAGCTATAGTATATATGAATTTGAATTTTTTTTTATTAGAGATTGCCAAAGGGTGTAGCAATTGAGTAGCAAACTTAGATATGCTATGACATGTAGGAAAAATGTTTTTCAATAGAGGTGGTGTTGGAACCAAATTTGCACTAATGTTGTCAGTTGTGGAGATGCACAAATCCAAATACTTGTTAAAAAACAACTAGCCCTAAGAAAGCCAAAGACTGAGGGGTGTGCCGATCAAAGGCTCTTCAACAATGAAGTTAGTAAGTAATATTTAGACCCAAACTATGGGCAACATAATAAGTATGCAAGAATTGCATTACTAGCGATGAACCTTAGTGGCGTATTTATACCAGTCGAGGAGATGACCTTTTAGGATAGTAAAATCATTATTAAACTGGAAGAATCTTAGAGGATATCTAGGAAGTATATGTTGCATCCTCTTAGGAGTGTTATTACTTGCGACGCAAGCTAATACAATTGTAAAGACCCCAATTTTATAGGAAACCGTCGATTCTTTGTTAGATTAGGTTTGTGTTTCTTGTAAAACAAGCATGGTCAATCACAGCAAAGTCTGACGACTTTGCTCACTGATTCTAGAACATGATGATGGAGGCATCGCTGCTCCGTTTATTTAGCTCGGCAGGGGAGGCTATTGAGTTCATGACCGAACTTCTAAGGTATTTGTATTCCGATCCGCCTTACTCCTGTCCTAGTAAATCATGGTCCCACTATTACTCCTAACTATGTTTCTGAAAGGACTTGTTCCCCTTGAGGATGGATAGTTATCCAAAGATCATGCCTTTCAAAGTAAGTGAGAATACATATTGCTTTAATTCTTTTAACGCATGGCGTTCTGGCTTTGATCTTTGTGAACTTTGTGAATGTTGAGTCGTTTCGTATTTGGGCGCATTACCTCGCGAATCGTGCCACCAATATCACAATGATGAGGATTGTCTTTCTGTGTGTACGCATAAGATAAAGCTCAGTCCATTGCTTTCTCCAGTTAAATTCAGCCGTCAAATTTGTTGATCTCGAGATGTGACGATCCGTATTCATCGGTATGATGATTCTAAAATGTATTCTTTAAATATTGTGCATAGCCTCAAATTCCCATATCTAATTATATGCCAAGAAAATCTCACACTAGGCTAATGTTGTGCATAGGCCCCACTTTGAAGTCAGACATACAAAATCTCCAAAACGGAGGCTACTTACAAAGGCGAACTAGGTCATTGAATCCAATTGGAAAGGTAGCTGCAAGAAAGGAATTCAGATTTAGAAAACGTCTAGCAAAACAGATGGAGGTAAAGCATTCCTGGTAAAGCGAGCATGATGACTTGATTGAGCGACTGTGCCATGAAGAAAAAAGGCTAACGACTTGGTTGCATAAATGACCCGACTTGATGTCGCCAAGTATTCATAGTTGTTGAGAGCCAACGATGATGCGGGGCAGAGCTCATGGGATGCTGATCAAGGCATCCTTCAATTGAACGTAGACGAAACCCAGTAAGAGGCGGAATTGAAGAAAACGTCACATATTGAAGCCTTTCATTAGGTCTTGGATGACAATGAGCAGGGTTGGCAGAAGTCCGTTCATTGTTTGAAGTAGCGTCGACTCGAAAGTATTCGGAGGGCTATGACCGGGGCCACGTTGTGGGCTTCATTGGTCAAGATCATTGTGGCGGATGAGACACTTGTTGTTGTAAACTAACAGAGATACAAGGGGCGGAATTCTGAAAACATGATCTTTTAGCAGATACAGAAAAATGACAGTTCGGATAGTTGATATCATGTTATGATGTTTACGGTTAATTGAATATGAGTTGATGTTATATAGTTTGCAGAAATTTTATAAACTCCTAACAATGTTTATATTAACTGTAAAAATTTGAACGTCATATCAACGATCCAAACTATTCATCTTTCTGCATCCACTAAAAGATAATGTTTTCGAAAAATAAAATTTTAAAAAGCAAAATATGGTGAAAAGAATGGAGCAAAAACGTAAACGACAATGAATGTTTAAATTTAAATTTATGGTTTATGGGATTATGGTGGCGAATTTTGGAGTTGACATTATCACAACAATTGATCTTGTTCTTAAGAGCATTTGTATATTTTATTTTTCTTATTTTTCACTCTTCTATATTAATTAAAAAACCTCACTACAATAATAGCCTTAGGATTTAATCCTTACCATTGGATTCTTTGGTCACATTTACGTTTTTGGTATTACATCTTTCATTTGATTATTTATTGATTTAAAATATATTTTCCTTAACATGTAACAAATTGAGTCGTATTACTTGTTAATATTAATGGATCGAGTTCAAGTCCGGCTATATTACCTCTTCATTTTAACAGGTGTTACACAACACAACCCGTTAAAATATCGAGCATGTCACGAAAATGACACGAATGCCAATTCTAGTAACAAGGCCTCGTCACGTCTACTATTTGAACCAAATTCATCAAAGTGATCAATTAATGGTAGTGTTACATGTCTAACTAACTAGTTAATAAGTTAGTATGGTTAGTGGATTCCTTTTCACTTAGAAATGAGATGTCTTAGGTTCAAATCTCGTGGATGACAAATTCGATATCAAATTAGGTTGCCCATTGTATAATTAGCCGAACTCCCCCTCCCTCTAATGAATTGTACCCACACAAGTGATTTGCACATTATTGAATAGTTTAATGGTGCTTTGAAGTGACTTAAAGTGCTTTTTCAAGATTAACTGTATTTTTACTAAAAGTTGGTTCCAAAAACGCTTCCAGTCATTTTAAAAACATTTCCAAACAAATCCTAACTTAATTAGAAAATTGTATTGGAATCTCGTTCATCCTTTGAAAAACGAGATGGATACCCTTTATCCCCAATTTCAAAGGAATCAGAATCCTTGACAATAAAAGGGGACATTCTTACAGAAAGCTACTCTTCACAACTTCTCAACCAAAATACCACTGCGGCCAAAAAATAATAACAGAAAGGTTCTGCTCATAAACCAACTCTTGTAGTTGATGGCTAAATCCCTTTGTTTTGTTTTTTCCTTTAAATAAAATTTCAGTGATGGGGGACAAGGGGGTCGTTCTATCAGGAAGTTAGTCCTTTCTAATTGCTCTGAGCGGGAAGAAAGTAGCCTATTTTTGTGATTGATGACCAAATCCCGGGTCATGGTTCTTTTTTACCGCCTTGTGCATGCTAGAAAGTAAGGCTACCTTTGTAGTTCGATGACCAAGCCTTAAGAGTAGTTTGACTCGCCTAATCCTTCATCATCGTCATTAAATTAAAAATAAAAAATAAAAACAAAACAAAACAAAACTCTTCACAACCTTCTCAATCCAAATTTTTTGGAGCCAAAAACAATAGTAATAGAAAAATAAACTTTACGTGTCCGGCACGTACCCTACGAAGGACTTGTTGGTTTTCCCTCCGGTTGACTGTTTCTCAGAAAGATCACCAGCCTGCCTCGTAACATTGTATCCATGTTAAACTACACCAAGCATATATATAATATAAAAATCAGCAGTAGGCATCATGCTCTGTTTCCACACTACCTTCCTTCCACTGGTTTTATTCCTTCTATAATTGCTAAATTGCTGTCCATTGACATCTCAATCAACAGACAAGTAGCATCAATTATTGAGAAGCTTATCTGAAATAACAGTTGCGATGTGGACACCAAGATTCAATAATCAAGAATGACAACTGGCAAAATCGAAAAATGATATTACCGAAAAAGATACTGCAATTTATAATGAAATCCGTCGCTGTTGTGCTGTGTCGACGAAAGTCCAATGTGGCCCTCGTATTGGAAATCTTTTGAGTTATCTGCAAAATAGTTTTTACTAGAAATGAATAAAACTGCAGTTCCCTATAAAATATTAAAGCATTGTGGTCACCCACTCGTCATAGGTGAAGATAGGATGTTGACCTGTGACAATGATCTGTGAGATTATGGCTTTATTCTCTGTATCTCATTGTTTCTTTCTCGAATCCAATGGTTGGAAACTGTTTAGCGTACTGCTCAACCTCGTGGCGAAGCTTTGTAATCTCAGACTGAACTTCACCGTCTGATTCCAGAACTGCCACGAAATCCTTCAACTTCGTACCTGTAATCCAGATGTGCATGAGCATGTAACCATGGTAGTGAAACATGTGACTAAGCTAAGCTTTACAAACCCTAAAACAATTTATATACAGGGGACAGTGGGAGAGTAAACCTTTGGCAGCAGCCTTGATCTTCAAGGCCAACTTTACAGCTGCATCAAAATACTCAGCTACTTTCACAAAATCCTCCTCCAAAAACCCCCTAGACGTAAGAGCTGGGGTTCCTGAGGAACCGGAAAACATGGAGTTTGTCAGCAAAAGTACTTAGCCAATTGCCAGGAGGTGCAAAATGGTTAAATGCGGATGGATGGCCTTACCCATGCGTATGCCACCAGGGACCATGGCAGACACGTCCCCAGGAACAGTATTTTTATTTGCTGCAATATGTGCTGATTCCAAAACTTTTTCAACTCTAGAGCCATCAATGCCCTGCCAGAAAAAGATTCCATCTTCATTAGTTTTCTCATGCTATAACCCATTTGCAGCACAGCAGTATACATCAATGAATTAAACATCAAACCCTCTAGTGTACGAGAAATGAGGGAAATTCTATGATTTTCTCACTAGTGTTTTCTAAAGCATTAGAAATCCATGGATTCGTAATAACCCAGCTTTCAGAGCTTAAGGTTTTAAAGTTTCCCTTCTCATTTCATTCGTCTCTAACATAATTCACTATTCAAATCTATTTCGGAGGGTTTAATCACAGAATAACGATATTTTATCACTCACTTTTTGGTTACCAGGCCTAGTTGTTCATCTAGTAATATATCTTTCAGTAATCATATGGCATCTTGAACCTCCAATCTAACATGCTGAAAACTTTAAGTCGGAATAAATCCTTCAATCAAAGGGAGAATCAATCTCCTGTTTGCAATCTTCCCGTCAGAGGAAAAATCAATCTGCTATTACCTTGTCTCTTAAATTCACCAACACTAAATGGTTCTCTGTTCCACCGGAAACAAGATCATAGCCCTTCTCTAGCAAGCTCTGCATGTTCAAAGGGCAAAAACTATAAGAAGAAATTACTGAGACAGATGAAACAACCAAATAAAGGAAATAAAACATCGTGTGCCTTAGTCATATAGAAATTACTCCAAATTGCTTTAACGAGAACCCAATTAAAAAAGAGAGAATAACTTTCAGATTTTGCATTAATATTTTAGAAAGCAGCGTTCATCAGACCTCTGCAAATTTTGAGCAATTACTGAGAACTTGTTCCTGATAAGCTTTGTACTCCGGAGTTTTGACCTAGAACCATAATATAGTCAGCAGTCCAATAACAAGAAGATGCAAAAATCCGATCAACATGTAGTGGGTATTTTGGTTAAACACACAAAATAAAAGGAAAGAACAGAAGAAACAAAGGAACCTGCTTCAGTGCAACTGCTAGCCCTGCTATGGTGTGGTTGTGCGGACCACCCTGGAGTCCAGGAAAGACAGCCTGATTGATTTTGTCTTCATAATCATACATAACCTGTAGAAGGAAATTCAAGCATTTAATATTTCATCCAAGTTGCTTCACTTGAGACTTCTACATATTCTCCCCCATTTTCCTTCGTTTATTTATTTTCTGAAATTTATCATCAGAACTTACTTCTTGCCCTTGCTTGTTTATATGCTTGACACCCTTCCTGAAGAAGATCATAGCCCCACGAGGTCCACGAAGTGACTTATGAGTTGTGGTTGTAACAATATCTGCATACTCAAAAGGAGATGGAATAACATCGGCAGCAACCAATCCACTGATGTGTGCCATATCAGCCAACAGAATTGCTTTCTGCTTATCACAGACCTGACGACACCATGACACCACAAAGAATAACATCTCACTTAATGATTGAGTACCATAAGAATTTCAGAGATGCATGAAGCTGATTATCGTAATCACACAACTCAAGCCAAAATTTACCTTGCGGATACGCTCATAATCGTACAGGCGTGCATAAGCACTTGCACCAGCAACTATTAGCTTTGGCCTGAAAAGTGTGGCACTTTTCTCCATCTGTGGACATATTTATTCACATAGGTCAGCCTTTAATTAACAAAGAATGACAGATAAAATATGGTATTTGCTTAGAACTATAGAAACTCAAACTTCAAAACAATTAAGAAGTCATGCCAAAAAATATCCCAATTCAAGACATACAGTGACTTTAGGCTAACAAAGTTCTGTACTTCCCAGGACGAGTCAGGGATACACTTTCTGATTTCAAATAATGTCAACTGTTATCCATTTGATGATAACTAAACTGCAGCCCTGTGGGAAGTTTCTTTGCATGGTTATCTTTCATGTTACAGTCATCAGAATTATTCACTTAAAACATTATTTTTGCAGTTTTGCTAATAATATCTGCAGGAAACAAGTAAGACAGAACCTCATTGCGCCCCATTTCATCCTATTTCTGAGGCTGAAATAAAATAATAATGTTTTTCTAATAATGTTTGCAGGACACATGTAAGACGGACTCTTAAATATGCTTACAAATATGAGAATTCAGAACAGTGAAGATGGGGATGAGCAAGTCACCTGATCATAATCAATGTAGCCAGTGCTCTCATTCAATCTGTATGGCATTGTCTCAAAAAATATCGACACAGCAGATATCTTTTTGGTGTCAGTCTGCAAAATGGTGAAATGTTTGTGTCATTTAGTATACAGACAGGCAGCATTACATTTATGTTTTTACAACCCAAAATGATATGCGACATCCAGACATCAGAAGCATGTAAAATCACCATAACAAAATATAGGTTCACTTGTTCTGTGTAGTTTTGAATAACTAGATTGCTTGAAATACGCAACACAATTTCATTCTCAAAATAATTAATATTACATAAATATACATAGAAAGGGGTTCCAGTTTATGTACTCACTGGATTTTCAGAGAAATTATTCTGTAAAGACAGTACTAGGTTTAATTACACATAACAGGAAACGAGAAACGGAAGAAAAACAAAACAACCCAGAGGCACTAGACTAACTGAGAGCTACACAGGCTGTCGCTGTTAACCACAAAAAGCACAAAAGTATAGCCAAGTATAATCTGGAAAAAACAATCAACAGCGAGGTCGACACCTGATAACCATGAGAAAGATGTCCGCCGTGAGGTAGATCAAGTGCCATGATTCTTTCATGAGGTTTCAACAATGCAGTATAAGCTTGGAAGTTTGCAGGGGATCCAGATAGTGGCTGCACATTCACTGAAAGAATACAGTAGAGTATCATTAATAAAATAAGCAATTCTTCTTCCATGGTACGTACCACTGAGTGGTCTGGAAAACCAGCAGTTAGATCTTCCATAAAGGGATCTAATGGATCTTTGCAACGGTTAGGTCTTGCATAAAACTCGTACCACTGAGTGGTACGTACCATTGTAGCAGGACCCCAAACTATGTAAGATATATATTACTAAATACATGAATAGTTCAATAATAGAATGAACATGAGTTACAAAAGCAAGAGATGAAGCCGAGAATAAAACTTTACTTTGACACAAATACTCTTTGAACCACGCATTTATAAATCAATGGTTGACATGTTTACACAATATAAAAGATTTTTAATTCTTTGAGTCCCATTTTCAACAATCTAATTAAGTATAACAATGCTATTCTAATGCCGTCTAATCCCAAAGCCAGATTTTACAAAACATTACATTTCAAATTCAAAATCTTGAAGAAAATAACTTAATCTGAAATAGCATGCTGCCTTTATGCCTCCTACGCGATGCAATTCACAAAAGAAAAAAAATATTCACTACGCTATGCAATTGCAATTCACAAAAGAAAAAAAAATTATACTTCAACATGAAATATATTGTACCATATTGTTGAAAGGGTATTGTGTACAATGAAAATCACTCAGTGGATAGAATTAACTCCAAGTGTGACCAATCATTTTTCTTTATAGCAAATATTTAACAGCAAAACCCTCCCTACCAAATAATTTGAAAGTCTGAACTTGTTGGGTGCTAGACATCATTCATAACTTGTACAATGTAAATGAACACAAACACAAATGTGAAATCCTACATTGAACTGATGGAAATAGTTGGGAATGCCACATGTATAAGCTATACATTTAGTTCTATTACCTCCCCATTTTGCAGGATCTAACTGGAAGGCTTCTAATGCACGTTTTTGACACAGGGACTCAGCCATGTCGATGTATCTACATTTATTAAAGAAAAATATCAATCACGCATAATTCCTTAAAACAAAAGTACTAGACGAATGTGAAAAAAAGGCAAGAACATGTTTTATAAAGCTCATAACCACCTCACAGCCCCCAAATGGCAGGGTTTTCACCAGAGCAGGGTTTTACCCAAACCATCCATCCCCCAAATAACATTTTAGAAAAGATAAAACTGAAGAAAAACTACATTTCAACTTAATAGTTGGAAATATAGGAATGCAAAAATGCTCATAATATTCACTGGGGAACTACTTACTCATTTCCTCCATAGTATCTAGCACCAGGATACCCTTCACTGTACTTGTTGGTCATGACGGACCCAACAGCTTGCATCACCGAAAGTGACGTGAAATTTTCTGATGGTATAAGCTCAAGCCCCTACGATAAACTAAAAATTAAGAAACAAATTCTAAAAACAATAAAAACAGAAATTAAAGAAACATGAACTCCCTGATCATTTACTAAACTCTCATGCTCAACATTGCATTGTGAGTAATCTTTTCTTGCCAGACTTAACCCGATTTAACTTGAGGCATATCACATTCATCACCACGCAAGCAAACGAAAATTTTACATTCTATTACAATTATATTCCCACAAATCAAATCAAATCAAATCAAATATACCTTCCATTGCCGAGCTTTTTCGAGCTCGATGATATCGGCAATCTCAGAATCGACAGCCTCAAGCGGCTCATTCAACTGCTTAATCCACTGAATCCAAATGATATTTTTCCACAGAATCAATACAATCAAACACAACACAAATCCAGATCCAAAAGAAGCCAATAAATTATAGAATTGTGAATAGGAAAGGACATACAGTGGTGCGAGCTTTCCCTTTGTCTTGAGCAGCCTGGCTGGCCAGAGAGGACTGCAATCAAAACGACGACGGATATCAAAAATTGGGCGGGTGGAAATCGAAACTACACAAGCATGGATTTGATTGATTGAAGAAGTGACGTACCATGTGGTATATGGTGCCGCCATTGAAGAAAGGTTGAAAGGGCAGCTTCTTGTTGATGGAGCTCGAGAGCCTGAGAAGCGCCATTGCCGACGAGCTTTGAAGATTTGTGAGTACTTTTGGGGGGTGACAGAGAGAGTCGGGGAGTGCGGTGGGTGTTGGTTGGTGGGGTTGGTGACCGTAAGAATGTAGGTCCCGCAGATCGGGAAGCGGGATGTGTGTCACTGTGCCGGTGGAATCAACTTATCAATTTATCCAACCAAAATATTTGGCCCATGTCTATCAAAAAAACTAAAAAATTGGCCATTATTAGACAAATCAGACCGTTGATTTTTACATATGTTAAACTGTGATTTTCATTAATAAAACACGTAATATCAATAGATTGTAGGCAAGGGATTCCATGCCATGTCATTAATTCAATTAAGACGCGCAACCAGTAACGTATACAAAAAAAAAGGATTATTGCTTCAATTGGAGGATGGGGTAATGGCACACCAAAATCAAGGGGCAAAAAAAAGTTCACTTGGGCTATGTTTGTCGGAACGTTCAAAGGAACATTTGTCTTTCCATTAATTGTTCTCATTAGCTTAAAAAACACTTCAAATTTACCAGATCAAGGTGGGAGATCTCACCAGATTTAGTATTTACAGAGGATCACAATTCACAGCCTTTCACTAGACCATCCAGAATCAGTTCCGCAGAGATAGACGATGTCGGAGACATGCTTAACCTTTGAGTGATCCGAGCTTCCTTTTGTTCGTATTCCTTCTATGAGCGTGTTGGGAACACATTCAAAGTACAATTGGAGGAGATGCAGGCAATGCATCCAAGCGTAGCACTTCATCCTCGTTACTTGTCTTAACAAGTAACAATTGGAGGAGTTTCGTTCTTTCGATTGACATGCACAAGTCCTCCTCGTCGATGTCTCTCACATTTGTTAAGATGAGTCTTGTGAGTTGGGTCATGTGTCCAAGTTGTTTGATTAACATGCCTCCTCCCTCCATGCCATCTAAAACTTGTAAGCTCTTCAACTTACTTATGTCGAAAGGGACTTGTGCGCCATTCAACAAATTAAAGACTTAGGATCATACTTTTGATGATGGTACATCAAAAGATGCCGTAAGTTTATTAACTTCGCAGTTCCAACTGGAAGCACCAAAATTGTGGAATTCCTGATGTCCAGCGGCTCCAAATTATGTAGGTTTCCTATGCCTTCTGGAAGCTCTGCCACGTTTGTTCCTCTTAGATTTAAATACTTTAAGTTAAAAAGCTAAAGCTTACCATTTCATGTGGCAGTCGGCTTATAGGGGCATCCTTAACATCCAAAACCCTCAACAATTCAAAACCTGAAGGCAAGTTTTCAAGTGTGGGGCAAGTATTGGCCATGAGAAAAAGTAAAGAATGTGCGAACTTTTGACATGTTCTTTTTCATTCGTAGTTCTCCGTAGTTTACTTGTACTGTTAGGCGACGGGGAGCTCTACGTTCTTCATTTGTTTCTTCTTGCTCCATAGAATTTGTACAAAATTTCTGTCTCTGAAATCGAAAGAGCAAGTTCTCGTAGAAGGTCATGCATCTTGAATGTTTTTGCCCTTCCAGATGGTTCCCTCTTAACAACTTGGAGCATGCAACGACAAGTGAGCTCTGCTATGTAACTTTCTGCACTGTCTTCTGGCTTAGCCGCTCGAAATTGTTCCACAAACCCTTCTGCCATTCACAATCTGATAAGCCTCTTACATTGAACTACATAATCTTCTGGGAAAATGCAAAAATATAAGAAGCAATTATTGAGTTGATATGATAAATCATTGAAGCTTAGTAATAAGATGCTCTTCACTACTTCAAGTGTGGGGTTGTTGCTTAGCTCCCAATTCAAGCTATTATATACTTTCGTCCACTCGGGAACAAATCTTTTAGTTGACATGAGAGCACCCAAAGCTACAATTCCTAGAGGTAGGCCTTGGCATTTTCTAACAAGATCCCCGGCTATGAGTTTAAATTCTGTTGGACAACTACTGTCATCCCAGCTAGAGAAAGCTTTCATGGAAAAAAGATCCCAAGCCTCATCGTCAGTAAGAGGCTGAACATGGTGCATGCGACTTCCAACTCGAAATGAAAAAGAAGCAATGCCTTCATTCCGAGTTGTAAGCATGACTCGACTTCCATGTGTTCCATTTGGAAGTGCTACATTTATTTGTCTCCAAAGATTTATATCCCACACATCATCTAAGACAATCAAATAACGCTTTGGCTCCAAATAGTCGACGAGCACTTCTACCAAATGTACATAGCTCATATTGCTAAAGTCTAGAGGAATAGCTTGCATTGTTGCTCTAAAAAGTTCTTGGATCATGGTACTTAGTAGATCTTCAACTTGTTTGCTTGTTTATGCGATAGGTAAACTCATCGAGGATGCCTTCAACGTCGAGGGATACGTACCTTACATTTGCCACCCATGTTTTCTCTACTTCAGAAAGAGCTTCTCCCTTCCTTTCTGCATCCGCCAAGAACGCTTTCATGGTCAGCAACTCAAGCCCGAGATCTTCAAGTTCGTCATGAACTCCTTCTAACAGAGACACTTTACTTTCAACAAATGATACAATTTTTCCAATCAAAAAACCTGTTGGAGGTGAAGCCATTTCTTCTTGTTTCTTTTGCTCAGTAAACTCAGAAATTTCGAGTTTTGAACTACAAATATGCTAACTATCATGTATAGTAGTGGCCTTCCGTTCGCAGATGGAGAAAGTCAAACCATCTCCATACATGTGGTACATGCCATCACAGATATAAAATGTCAACTTTCTTTGATTAATTCATATCACGTTTGGTGACCAAAATTTTAACTCTTAATTTAGTAGTGTTTATTTTCGGGACGAGTAATGTACAAATTTGAATCCACAATCTCTCGTGGATATGGGAAAAAGAGGAAAACTTTGGACGTGATTCTAAGTTGTTAATGTTCTTTGACTGAAACTTTGTTAATTTTTAATTTTTGATCAAAATCCATAACATTAATGTAATAATGTCAACTTTCTTTGATTAGTTAATATCAAGTTTGATGACCAAAATTGAACTCTTAGTTTAGTGTTGTTTATTTTCAGGATGTTTATGTACAAAGTTTGAATCCTCAATCTCTCATGGATATGGAAAAGAAAAAAAAGTTTGCTGACAAAAAAGATCTTATAATCCAATTTTTTTTTTTTTTTGATAAAGAAAAAACTTCATTCAAAGGGAGAAAACGCGAATACAACCGTTCCCAGTACAATAAAGAAAATAAGCAGTTTGAGCAAAATACGGAATACAGTACTTCCAAATTTAACTAACAGAAACAGTAAGACCATGATGACCAAAAGCATCCGCAACAAAATTTGTCTCACTAAAGATATGGTTCCACTTGATATTAGTAAACTGTGAAGCCAACCACCTGATATCATTGATGATGGATAAAAGATTTCAGGAGATACCACACAGACCTTTGACCGCCAATCTCCCGTGGATATGGAAAATAAAAGGTTTGCTGACCAAAAAGATCTTATAATCCTTTTTTTGTTTTTTGCTTTTTTTTTTTTTGTGATAAAGAAAAAACTTCATTCAAAGGGGAAATTGCGAATACAACTGTTCCTAGTACAATAAAGAAAATAAGCAATTCGAACAAAAAACGGAATTCGGTACTCCCAAATATAACTAACAGAAATAGTAAGGCCATGATGACCAAAAACATCAGCAACAAAATTTGCCTCACTAAAGATATGGTTCCACTTAATACTAGTAAACTGTGAAGCCAACCACCTGATATCATCGATGATGAATAAAAGATTTCAAAGGACACCACATAGACCTTGGACCGCCGAGATAGTAAGCCAAGAATCGCCCTCCACCATAATGTTAGTTATTCCTTTTTGTATGGCGTACTTCAAACCTTCACCAATTCTATATTTGTATTTTAAGGTAAAGAAAATTGTATATTTAAATTAGCCAAAAAAGAGAAACAATTTCCTTATTTACACCAATGGTGGGGCAATAGTGTAATTTGGTTCAATTCCAGGACTCTATTTGGTTGAGCATTACTTCCCTCCACAAAACTTTACCTGAAACAGATAGAGTGGATAATAAACACTCTCTCCCTCTCTCCCTCCCTCTGCACCTCCAGCAGCATGCAATTTCTTTGAAGAAAACCTCCCCAAGCCTTTCTATGGCTTCTTTGCCCTCAGTTACTCTCAGTGGCACTCTCAAACTAGACCAAGAATTCCGAAAACACCCCACAAATTTTCTTCCTTCCGAAAAGGTACTCGAAGTCTTTTGTTTCTGTTATTTGTGTGTTTTGTTCTCCCTCTGCATTCTGTAGTTTGGATTAAATTAGAATATCGCTCGAGTAAAAGAAAAGCTAAATCCATGCAGTATGTTCTTTCTGAAAGCATGAAAACTAGTACTACTCTGTACTCTGTACATAGTTGAAGTGAAAAGTAGCACAACTTTAAATTACACTGTTTGTTGTTAATGTTTTTACCATACTCCTTCCTTTGGTATCGCAGAGCGTAAATGTTTCGTATCCGAAAAGTCAGACAATCACCAATTCAGATCGAAGTTCAGAACTCCCCAAGTCTCTAGACTTTCGAGAAGCGCTTTTGATGATTAGAGAGGGGGATAAGGTTGAGTCATCTCACTACGTTCCTGTCTTGCAAGAATGTATACACAGGAATTCGGCTTCAGAAGCGGAAGTTGTGCATGCCCACATCATAAAGACCGGAACCCACCAAGATTTGTTTGTCACAACATTCCTTGTCAATGTTTATGCAAAATGTAGAATCATGGAAAGTGCACGTAAAGTTTTTGACAATCTGCCTGGGAGGAACGTTGTTTCGTGGACAAGTTTGATAACGGGCTATGTTCACAATTCGCAGCCAGAAGTTGCCATTCGGGTTTTCAAAGAAATGCTGGAAGCCGGGGCTTATCCTACGAATTACACTCTAGGAATTGTTTTGAACGCTTGTTCTTCTTTGCAGTCCTTAAAATTAGGGAAGCAGTTGCATGGCTATATAATCAAATACCAGATCGATTTTGACACTAGTATCGGCAACTGTCTCTGCAGTTTATACTCGAAATGTGGAAGCTTGGAGTCCGGTATTAAAGCGTTCAAGAAAATCGAGGAAAAAAATGTTATCTCGTGGACTGCAACCATATCTGCTTGTAGTGATAACGGTGAAGCTGCAAGGGGTTTGAGATTTTTCGCTGAGATGCTTTCCGAGGGCGTTGGACCTAATGAGTATACCCTAACCAATGTCTTGAGCTTGTGTTGTTTAATGCTGTCTTTGGGTGTGGGGCAACAGGTTCATTCGTTAAGCATAAAACTTGGCTACGAATCGAACCTACCAATAAAAAACTCTATCATGTATTTATACCTCAAATGTGGACAGATTAATGAGGCTCGAAAGTTGTTTAATGGGATGGAAGCTATCAGCTTGGTTACATGGAATGCAATGATTGCAGGCCATGCACAAATTATGGATCTTGCACAGGATGATGTTTCAGCGTACCAAAGCGGAACTGAAGCACTCAACATTTTCTTGAAACTGAACCGTTCAGGCTTGCAACCGGATTTGTTCACCTTCTCGAGTATCTTAGCTATATGTAGTGGTTTAGTGGCCTTAGAACAGGGAGAACAGATTCATGCTCAGACCATTAAGACGGGGTTTCTCGAAGATATGGTAGTAGGCACTGCCCTAGTCAATATGTACAACAAATGTGGAAGTATTGAGAAAGCAAGTAAAGCTTTTGTGGAGATGTCTACGAGAACTTTGATATCGTGGACAACTATGATTGCAGGTTTTGCGCAGCATGGCCGGACTCAGCAAGCACTGCAGCTCTTCGAGGATATGAGAATTGCAGGAGTAAGGCCGAATCAGATTACTTTCGTGAGTGTTCTCTCGGCTTGTAGCCATGCTGGGATGGTCAACGAAGCTCTCGGTTACTTTGAGATGATGAAAAAAGACTATAAGATTAAGCCTGTGCTGGATCATTTTGCCTGCTTGATTGATATGTACGTGAGGAAGGGTCGGTTAGAGGAAGCGATTGATCTGGCAAAGAAAATGGATCCTCAAGCGAACGAGTTTATATGGTCGATCTTGGTTGCAGGGTGTAGAAGACATGGGAATTTAGAATTGGGATTTTATGCTGCTGAAAGGTTGCTCAAGCTAAAACCAAAAGATACCGAGACTTACACATTGTTGTTGAATTTGTACCACTCTGCAGGAAGATTGAAGGACGTTGCTAAGGTGAGAAAGAAGATGAAAGAGGAGAAGCTTGAAAAATTAAGGGACTGGAGCTGGATTAGCATTAGAGACAAGATCTATTCGTTTCAACAGAACGATAATTTACATCCTTACAGCGCAGATACACAAAAATTCGTACAAAGTTTGATTGATCGAGTCAAGAGTCTTGGATATCAGTCACTAGAAATTTTGGAAGTAACCGATGAGGAGCATGAAGAGCAGACTTTGATTCCAACCGCTTATCATAGCGAAAAATTAGCGATTGCTTTTGGATTGTTGAACATGCCAAATGCTGCACCAATTCGGGTCATCAAGAGCATCGTTATGTGCAGAGATTGCCATAGTTTTGTTAAGTTTGTGTCATTACTGACTGGTAGGGAGATGATCATTCGAGACAGCAAGCGCCTCCACAGATTTGTGAACGGAACATGTTCATGTGGGGACTTCGGAGGTGCTATTTGATTCAGGCTAGAAAAAACATGTCGAAAAGCTCGTGTTGCATTTTGATCTATCATTAATGTTGGAGTAGATATCATGGCACAGCTGAGCCTTGGTTCTTATGGCGAGTGATAAGGCATGCTGTAGGAGCTGGTGTAGTGACCATTTAGCCTACTTAGAGGGAAGAAGTACCGAATTCAAATCTCATGAACGACAAAATGTTGAACGAAACAAAATGACTCATTTGATACTACAAAATTTCACCGGGAAATCAGATTGTCACCAATAGCTCCTTATTTCATAATTGATTTGCTGTATAACATCGTGGCGATGGCGTTGAACAACTGGTTGTATCCAAGATTTTATGCTACGAGTTTATAGTACGTGGGATAGTGTCTATGAGAGAGAGAGAGAGAGAGAGAGAGAGGAGAGAGAGGAGAGAGAGTGAACTGGAGATAAATAAGAGGCTGTGCTCATATCTATAACATTATTTACATCCGGACTAAGACTCAGTTTATACAATCATTTACGCTAAACAACTCGGTTTATACAAAGTTACAAAGTTTTACACGAAAAAACAAAAACGAAATACATCTCTTTCCTTCTGGATTCTTTTCTTCCCTCTTCTTCAGGTGCTGTAGTGTCACGGGGAAGGAGATTCCTGATAGGGTTCGGTAAACTGCAATCACAACTTGAACACCCCATGCGATGCGCCCAAAGGTCAAAACCATTGCAAAGTACATGTCTAGCACTGATAACCGAAAGTAGATGATACACATGTCAGAAATCAGCGCTTTTTACTTTTGCTTTTGCCGATCCTCGATTTGCTAGTTTCAGTAGGAGGTTTCCAGATGATATCCTCAAGATTGCTACAGAAGTTCTTGTAGAACTGTATAACAGAAGCACATCTATTCCATTCAGACGCAACCAACATGCATGCACATGCAGGTGATACAAGCTTCCATGTCATCGATATCAAACAAAAATAGTTAGAAGCAAACTGAAAACTAACCTTGAGGAATTCACTAGCATCTCCAGCGGCTTTCTGAATGTCTACCATGTAATAGGTCGGAGCAACTTCAAAAATCTGCGGGCAATAGTAAAAAATTAAAAATAATCAGTCTACTAAAATGGTAGGGGTGACTTCGGTTCAGTGTGGCATCAGGAGTAAAGGCTTACTTCAAGGATAATGGAGAAATGAGAAGTTTTATTTGCTGAAAGACCCTCCACTCTCATCTGGAAAAAAAACAGAAATATACATGTTTAGGAGTGAGTTTTCAAGTACTTCTATCCAGGATCGTCCTGCCAGAATTATAAACAGGCATGTGCTTGCACACGCATATTAAACAGCAAGCAAAATAGAAGTAATGAGACTTGTATATATCATGATATTGGTAAACAAAATAAAGGGGAAGTAAAATGAAGCACCCAAAATAAAGATTAGTATAGATCTGGCCTGATTTACCTTATAGTTGCGAATGTGTGTCTTGAAACCCATTGATTGGGCAACAACTTCCATACTGGATAATACAACCTTTGCTGGCTTTTGTGAAACAAAGCGTGTCTGATATTTCATAGAATCCTACAATTGGGGAAGCAATTGATGTATCAGATAACTAGAAAACCGGCATATATAAACTGTCTCGTGCAAACTTGTATTTATAAGCAAAGGCCATGATGCTCAAAGGGTGAGAGGGTAACACACGGTACTAAACACCAAATTGTAAAACTGGAAGTATGATTTACTGAGTAGCTAAAGGATAAAAATAAAGGAAGTTAACCAGTAAGATAGTATCTTACCTTTCCACGGTCAAACATTGTTGCGAGGTTTAAGCCTTGAGATAGAATTATCAAGTCAAATGCATTAAGAACTAAAGGACCCATGTCTTCATTTCCATGGTGCTCGATAACCCTTTGTTCCTGCTATAAACCATATATAACAAGAGAGTTACTTGTGTTGTCAATCTCAACAAAATAAAATGCAGCTTCTCTAAGTCTTTGACAACCTCAGAGTCGGCTTCGTCAAAAACAGCATTTACATCATCCAGATTTACATCTTCATATTCAAGTAGTCGGGCAGGAATGTAATTCTTCTGAAACCACTCATCATTTCTTATCTGTTCAATTGCAATACGCTGCATTGACACAATCACACACACAAACATTTCAGAAACAACAACCAAAATAACTCAGTCAAGTAGAGAACCAAGAACTGTAAATCCAAGAACACTTGTTACATAATTACATAGAGTTCATTCCACTTCCTTCAAAGTACTTGATGTTTGTTCCCACTTTTGAATTAAACCACTCAGGGGGATGAATAATGTAATGGAGTGGGAAATAAACTTTCAAAAATAGCAAAAACATAACCAAGAACGCAAATGTATGCCATGAGTGGGTCCTGAATCCTAACAACGTTAAAAAGAAAAAATGAGAGGCTATGTCGGTTGAAGAATAATTAGGGGGCATACCCCACTGTAAATGGCACAAGCCAGCACTCATAATTCTCAGTAAAGGAAAAAATAATTATTGTTGGTAACAACAAGGCTTCTACTTTTAATATGAACCATTCCAACTTAGGATCTTAACTGCTGTCCAAAAAAATTTCCACGGTGTACTTTTATTGTTAATTTATTAAATAGAAACTTAAAAGTACCAACTTTATTACAGTCATTCCAGCTAATCTATAATTAGATTTCTCTTGCATTACAAGTGCAGATATGACGCATGTAAAAGTACTGACTTTATATCAGTCATATTCCAGTAAAGAATGTTTTTCTTCAGACCAATTGATGATACCTTTAACAGTCACACCCGTACTTGGATTGGTTACGGAAAGAAGATTATCATGGCCCAATCCAAGGTTGGTGATAGCTGGAGGAAAGTGTTCAGAAAGTACATAAAACATTAGTTCTTTAGCAATCATTAGCACACCACGTTCTGAAAAACTTAGTTTTACTTGACAGTTTAACATGCATTGGAAATAAATCATTTAATGATGAAAGAAATCTGAGGACATAGTAACTTTGGTGCTCGAGGAAACCTATAAAGTTAGATAGCAGTGGAAGATCTTATAATCTTTAGTAAAGCAATACCAAACATGAAGAAAACACCAAATAAGGGAAGAAAAACAACAATACAGAGATAAGAAAAAGGTGACAAACTCAAGAAAAGTCAAAATTCTCAGCAAAGGCTTAATGTTGGGTCAAATGCTAAACAGACACATTCCGGTTTTCCTATCAAATGAAGCATAAGCCTTGGTACTGCTAATCAAATACTTCTCTTCTAACATTTTTTTATTAAATACCTCACCCTTACTTGGTTAGTTACATGCATCATCTCATTCCAACACTTTAAGATGTCCATTATAAAACAATATGAATTATCATAAAAGACTGACACCAACATTTTGTGATCGTGTCTTTGTTAGATATTGAAATAGTAATGAAACCTTAAAATGTGCACTTTATGCATACAAAAACTGAACAATGTCATATAACTTAGCCAATACTTGCCTTTTCTGGGTTTGTCTCTAAAATTCTGTGAATCAAGGATTTTGCTCCCACTGGAAACCAAGATGGGCATGTGAAGTCTGCTTTCTCAATCTGCAGAAAATAAACGATAATGACTTAATATTAACAATGGTATTAACATCCTACTTTAACATCCTTGTGGAAAACTAGACAACAGAGAAGGAAAAGCATTGGGTTGAGTTGCAACAGAAATTAGATGATTAAAGAATCAAACCTAGCATCCACTAGAAACTGCACCTAAAAATAATGTCAAACGAGATCTAGCATGTGAAAGAACAGAGACATCATTTCTACATTCCATCACAACCAAATACACTTGATCACCCCTTCAATGTTATCAGTTTAGCTGAGGTAATTATTCACTAATCATAATATCTCTCATAGTTTTCAAATATTGATCCAAAATATCATTTATCTTATTGATCAATGGCAAAATAAGCAGAGAATAGTAAACATGAAAGAGGTTCATGCCTTACTATATAGTGTGGTTAGGTCAAGCTCATCAAACGGAAGATAACCTGCCAACAGGACATAAAGGATAACCCCGCAGGACCAAACATCTGCCACGGCACCATCATAACCCTTGTGACTGAGTACCTAGAGCACAGAATAGCGTATAAGAAAAGAAAATTAGCGCATTACACGACAACTACTGAAACTAAGAGAATCAGCAGTTGAGATATAGTCAACATTTAACGCAGAAGCTAGAATTTGTCGTTACCTCAGGTGCTACATAGTTAGGGGTGCCACAGGTTGTCCGAAGGAGGCTGACTCCCTATGTGCAGACATCAAAAGAATGAGTCCCGACAATATTAAATCCCACAACCAATATAACGTCAACAATACCGACAATATCACATCTCTCAAAAAATGTCAAAACAATGAGGCATCACAAAAATGAGTCTTGACAGATATTAAATCTCACAACCAATATAATGTCAGCAATCCCGAAAAATATCAAATCTCTCAAACCGTTAAAATGTCAAACAATGAAACAAGAATGATTCGGATAGAATCTTACTTGTTCGGGCAAAGCACTAAGACCAAAATCGGAAATTTTTAAATTTCCTAGAGAATCAAGCAACAGGTTCTCCGGCTGCAAAAGAACAACAATAAGAATCTCATGATAGAAAATGAAGCGATCATAATAGCAAGCTAAACGCTATAAAAGGAACACCTTTAAGTCTCTATGATAAACTCCCTTGCTGTGGCAATAATCCACCCCATCAATAAGCTGTTGGAAGTATCTCCTCGATTCGCCTTCACTAAGTCGCCCATGATGAACCTAAAAACAGGCGGCTTCAGTGTTAACATCACCACTTTCTCAAAGAACTAATGGTCCAAAATTCCAAATTGGGTTGTGGTATTTGAAAAGTGAGAATACTCACGATTTTATCAAACAATTCTCCACCAGTAATGAACTCCAAGATTATATAAATCTTAGTACGGCTTGCTAGAACCTACGGAAAACAACATTCATCCTCAGTGACTGACTGCAGAAATCAAACAATTTCTAAAAATAGAGATATGACGTGCCTCATGCAGACGAACAACGTAGGGGTGCCTGACAAGCTTCATTATCGATATTTCCCTCTTGATCTGCACCACACATCAAATTTCTTTCAAAAAAAAAATTAAAAAAAAATCTCAAACTGGAAACTGGGGCACGCTGTAATCCTAAATACAAGATAATTTGGACAGTAAAAATAAAAAAAACCAAGCTAAACCAGAAAGTGGGTAAATTGGAAACGTATTGAAATTCAAAATTAAAACATGGAAAAGAGGTAAATTGGGTAAGTTATTGGGAAATTAGAGAAAACCTGGTCGACCATCTTGTGCTTAATGATGGTAGTGCGATCCAGCACTTTCATGGCGACACTCTCACCCGTCTCAGTGTTCTGGGCAAACTTCACCTTGGCGAAGGTCCCTTCGCCGATCGTCCTCCCAACCTCATACTTTCCCACTTTCCTCACCACCATCTCTCTCTCTCTCTCTCTCTCTCTCTCTCTCTCTCTCTCTCTCTCTCTCTCTCTCTCTCTGAGAAAAAGAAAAGAACAGAAAGCAAAAGCAGCAGCTGACGGTTTCAAAATTTGAACAACGCAAGCAAGCAAAAGCCAACAACTTTCTGCCGAATATTTGAATGGGTTCTAATCGGCTTTGGGTTCTGATTGGACATCACAAAACAGCAGATTAATATTAAATCCCGGTGAAAACGATGAGGGTGTCAGAAATTGAGCAGCTTTATTCAAATTAGTGATTTGGGGTTTTGAGATTGACTTGGTTTTAGACGAGGATAAACAAAATCAAGAAGAATTCTATGAAACGAAATAAGAGGTGAGTTTTTGCTGCTGACGATCACCGACACTCTCTCTCTCTCTCTCTCTCGTTGATGCCTTTGTCCTCCTTATGACATCGACCATTATTCTCCGGCCTGGATTTCGGGCTTTTTGTTCTTCCTTTTTTGCTTTTCGGCCTCAATAAATAAAGAGGCTTTAGATTTAGTTGCTTCAAATCTTTCTTTCTTATATTAACATTTACGGTGTCTTGAAATTTTGTTTAAAATTATACATACACTACAATTCAGTTTTATGACACTGTTCATTAACAATGAAGGAGCAGAAATGCCCTCGGTTTCTGCTCGGTTCCCTGTTTTCATACCTCCTCGACCCCGTCGAGCCAAATTTCAAGCCCTAAAAGCTCCCAAAAAAATTAAGAAGACAAGAAAATTAATTTTTTCTTACCTTGAAGCAACGAGAAGACGAAGCAAGCAATAAAAGAAGATCCTTTGCACGGGCAAGATGTAAAAGATTGCTAGAGGAGGGGGAACAAATATCATCTAAGCTTTCTCTATCTTGTATGGTAGAATAAATCACTCTCTGATGTTGATTTAATAATCCACTTAAGGTGGACTTAAATAGGCTTTGAGAGAAATTTATTTCTCTTTCGTACAATGATTTAATTTCCCATTAAAGAGGGAATCTACATCAAAATAGGAAACAATCTTATGTTTACCAAAGCAAGAAGATTTCTACACCATGTGCCATTTCCTGCGAGTAGCTCAACAAGTGTGGGGGCAATTGTGGAACCAAAAATAATCGAGAAAAATATGAAGGCGACACGTGGATTCTAGGGTAAAAATGACAAAATTACCCTTAAGGAACACCGAAACTTCTACACGCAAGCAATGAACAGTCATCCCTCAATCAAGTCAAAAGTACCCAAAATAGGTATTTATTTATAACCTATTTCATCCATTCTCATCAAATCTTCTTCCCAAAGTAACTCTCAAATCATTCCTTTTTTATTATATTAATTAGCTACTTAATTGATTTATTATTCAATTAATTTGATAATTAAACACAAATCATGAACTTCACCCACAAGGCCATCCAAGTGCCCAGTCCATCTCCACCCAAATGGGCCACCACACCCTTATATAAACACCCTCATTCTCTCCAAAACTAAATTCCACTTCTCTTGCTAAATTCTCCAAACATTTTTCCCTCAAAAATTCTAACTTTGCTAAATTCATCGTGGGCACGTGACGCTTTTGGCCTTGACCTAAGGTGTTATTTGTTTTGTAGTTGCAATTTTGTCCAATAACAAGGAGGAAAAAATTTGCATTCACATCAGCCACACAGGCTGCAAGCCTGGTGCTGATGGCTCGATGCGACGCGACTCGACTTGGAATCTGACACGCCCCGACCCCTATATTCCCCGAATACCAGGATAGGCATGTGTTGGCCGACACCCGAGGGTGACGAAAGCCATTTATTGAGTGCAAATGCTGAAAACAAGGGATAGATAAAACTTATAAATGATAAATAATAAGAAATATGCATTTAAGGAACGTGTTCAGAGCACATATTTACCTAGAACACTAAAAGAATTAATATAAAAATTGAATGAACACATGAGTGGGTCCTACACCGAGAGGACTCGAAGATACCGATGCAGAAGTGCCTGGATGCCGGGATTGTATGTCTCGATTCTAAGTCCTGAAGGGGGCGCAAAACAAACATAAGTGGACCAATTTGATATATATAATAAAACAGTTATCAACGTACTAACCCCCAGGTTTTATGAAAACACATATATATCATAATAAACATAGGTTTTCCGAAACCTAGCATGACGTGCAATGTCTCAAACCATAACTTGTATATATAATAATCACTAGTGAATTGTCCGATAACCCCCAGGCCCCATGCCGGCTCCCCGTCTCTAAGCAGATAGTTAAAGGAAAATACACTTCAGGCCCCATGCTGGCTCCTCGTTCCTGTGCTAAATAGCCAAAGGAAACACATTCCAAGCCCTATGCCAACACTAAACCGTTGCTCGGGACGGAAAAGGACCACTAGGTAAATACAAATCCATTGAACATATATATATTGAAAGATAACTTCATAGTATAAAGTCATCCATCATCTATACTATAAAGAGGTGTTCGAAACATGTTCTAAATATCATATCGTCATCCATCGGATACTATAAGAACATGGGTTATAAGAAAAATAATAATAATTCAAACTAGCCTTAGTAAGCATGTTATCTCACAAAACGTTTCATAAAACGTAATCATCAAATCATGCTTTTCATGTATGCATTTCTACTATTAAAACATGAATTTTGAAAAGGGGTTCACTCACAGTACTTCGCCGTAAAAAAGTCATGCAGCTAGCGAAGACAGAAACGCCATTATAATTGCCCCTAAGCACATAAAGGGCTCAATTAATAAAACTATATAATAGCAATTGAATTTGGGAAAACGGACATTGGAAACGAATTCAGAACATTGAATTATCCTAAGAAGGGTCCCGGATAAATTTCATAAACGTCAATAGAATATTCCTTGAATATTCCCTAACGGATATTCTCCATAAAGGGTTTTGGGCCGACTAGGGTTTAGGGTTAGGACTTGGGTTAGGTTTAGGTTTAGGATAAATGGTTAATGGGTTTAGGTTAATGGGTTAGGGAATTAGGTTGATAAAAGACCTAGGGTAAATAATTGGGTTTAGTGTTTTTAAACTAAAAGGATTTAGGGCTTCAGGGAATTGGGTTTAGGATTTGGGCTTAGGAGTTTTAAGGGAATGGGGTTTAGGGACTCGGCCCCAAGGCCAAGGGCCTAAGGGGAAACGGCCCGAAGGCTTTACGCCTTTAAAGGCTTGGGTTTTAAAAAGGAATGGCCCAAAGGGCCTTTTGGATTGTAGAAATTAAAATAAGAAAAATAAAAGGGTTAGGGTTGGGCTGCCCAGGGTTTTGGGCTTAGCAGGAACGACCTAAAGGGCCTGGGTTTGGTGGGTCGTCGGACCCAAGGAAGAAGAAGGCCCGAATTTGGCCGGAAAGTTCTCTAACTTTATACGCCCATAACTTTGTCAATACTTAACGAAATCAGGTGATTTAAAAATAGAAACTGTAGCCCTCGAAGAGACGAAAAGAATGGTACCTCACACAACGTCTAACTCGCCCTGGTTTGACCGAAAAATGCCTTGAAAGCCTCGGAGGTCGCTAGAAACTGGGTAAGATTCAAATGAGTATAACTTCTTCAATACTTAACGAAATTAGGTGAAACAAAAAGGAAAGTTATAGTTCTCAGCGAGAAAAAGAGATTGATACCTTGCACGCCGGCCAACTCTCTGTGGTTTGGCTGGAATTTGCCTCGAAAGGGGCGGTCTGCGTCGGAGCTCGTGTACGGGGCTTTATGGTTCGACTTCCAAGATGCCAAGACTATGGTTGAGTTCGTAGCAACGAGATAAAGACGATGGTGATGTTGGAATTGTGATTTGATGATGATTTTAGGATTTGGGTTATGGGTGTGGCATGGTGAATGAGAAGAAGAAAGAGAGACTGAGGGAGATGAGAGAAAAGAGGAAGACTTTCAGAAAAATAAAAGAAAATGGAAAGGGAACCGGGGGACAAAACAGGGGGTGGGCCCCTTGGGCACACCATTTAAGACTCAAAAACCATATTAAAAGCAAGATAATCTCAAACTTAGTGAAAATACAATTTAAATTAGGGGTGGATGTAACAAGCCAACAGCTCGCGGCGTGGGATGGTGACGGGATGAGTTTTGATAAACCCTAATTTTTATTTTTTTCTTAATTTCCAGATTATAAAATTAATTCAATTGCATGCATATTCACACACATATAATTAAATACATGAGCAAATATTTGATACAATTCATGGCAATATCAAGAATTCAACAATTATGGATATAATGCGTACACACTTTATGTAGAATCTAAAATTCGAAAAATGTAAAGTTGGGTCATGCATTATGGTGTGAATGTTCATGTTATCAAAGCTGCAAAAATATCAAGATAAAAACCGTTGTTTAAGGGGAACATAATTGCGTGATGATATTGATGAACTGGTTTAATGCAGAAAACTTCCAAGTTAGATTCCTAAGTGCAGCGGTAGGAGCGTGCTGATAACGTGTTGTGACTTAGTTTAATCTGACAGGGGAGATGGGGTGCGCTGCAGAGAGAGATGTGTTTGTAGGGTTGTGTAAAAGATGTGTTTTTCCCTCTATGCATTGCCTTTATTTATAGTAATAAGAAAGGGAAGAATCATTCTTCTCCAAGGAATACAAGTCCTAATAGAGAAGAGTAACTAGTATCAAATCTAATATGAGATTTACACAATCACACTTAAATACAAGTTTATAATAGAAAAATAATTTTGTGGCCACTTAATAATATGGTTTAGTGGTATTCCTCTTCACTTGTAAGTAAGAAGTCTTATGTTCGATTCTCGCAAAAGGCAAATTTGAACCACGTTATTACTAGCCCATTGTGAGGCTAAACCCACCCTCTCCCCTTAGTGTAAATAATATCGTTAATTAAAAAAAAGGAATTTAATTTTGTGAAATTCATAGTTAATCTCTTCCTACAATAAACGGCAAGTTAAGAAAGAAATTAGGTTCTCATCCCTCTTTTTTCAACTCCATTAATTGAAACCTTATTATTTTTCAATTTTTTTCAAGGTCCCTTTGTTTTAATAAACGTCATTAATTATTTCAATAATGAAATAGATAATTAAATTTTATTTCTAAATATATTCGTTTAGTGTAAAAAATGTTACATTTAATATATTTATATTTATGACTAAATTTTGTATCATATATTTTTATTTTTAGTTTGTACCCATTTTAATTTGCAACTCTTTTTTTTTTTTAAATTGTACCAATTTTCTTTTCAGTTTTAGTTTGTACTCATATACTAATTTCTTTTTGTGTCCATATATTTCAAACTTTTATTTGTACTCATATTTTTTTAACCTTTTATTTGTATCCATAATTTATTAATAATGTACCCATTTTGTCTTAAAAATGTACCATTTTGTTATATGTAAAATGTACCTTTTTTTTTTTGTAAGTACCATTCTTTTAATCTAAAATGTACCCATTTTTTTTATATAAAATGTACCCAATTTTTTTATATATAAAATGCACCCATTTTTTATTTATATAAAATGTACCCATTTTTTTTTTATATAACATGTACCTATTTTTTATATAAAACGTATCACTTTTTTTGTGTAAAATGTACCAACTTTTTGTATGTAAAATGTCATTAATATAATTAATGACAAATCATGGGTTTTATTTTGGTATAATTTATTTTTTAATATTTTCAACCAATTATGAAATTTATTTAAAATCTCATTAATATAAATAACTACAAATATTAAATTTTAATTTAAAAATTATAATAACCTACATAAAAATGTATTATTGCATTAATTTCAGGATCTTCAATAAAAACTGAAAACCAACAAGATTTAATTCAAAGAATGATATAAATAGGTAAGTTATAATACGAACAATTCCGATCAGAAGTTCACATGCTGGGCGCATACGGTTTATAAAAACAAAGTGGAAACGACCAAGTGGTAGGCAAAAAAACGGAGTTCCTAAAAATAAAATTAAAAAAAAAGGAGTTAGAGGGTAAAATGGTAATTCCAAAAACTAAAACAGCACCCTTCTCGCTCCCGCAATGTCAAAAGCCATGGAAGCATTCCTTCCGAAGCTCTCTTTCTTCTAGTACCATATCCATAAGCTGATACTGACTGATTGTACAAGGAATCGAACGCCCACACACATCAACGTTTTCCGGCGGTTTTTCATGATTCCGGCCAACTCCGACCACCCCCAACATCAAGAGCGATGTAGATTCGTCAAGCTTGGGTAGTAGGATTGAAGGTGGAGTTCTATATGGAGTTGAAGATGTGAGTATTTGTCGTCGCCTTTTGCTTTTTTGTTTCTTGTTTCATGGCAGAACAGATACTTTCCGCTTGATTCTCTTCTAGCTGGCCATGCAATGTAAAACAGTAAGAGTAGCAATGGTTTTGCATGAACTGGCCCAAAAGCCCCCTCACAGACTCCTTGCAGAAAAATTCATCGCACTCTTGCAGTCCTGTAAGGCCATGAAGCAACTTCACCAAATTCAGACCCAGATAATCGCCCACGGTTTCTCACACAACGAGTACATTGCCCCGAAAATAGTCTCAGCATGCGCCGAACTGAAGCAAATGGCGTATGCCCACAAGGTGTTTGATGAAATACCTGATCCAAATGTTGCTCTATGGAACGCAATGTTCAGAGGGTATGGGAAGAATGAGAGTCATAGAGAAGTTATAGTATTGTTTAGTAGAATGAAGAGCATGGATATATTGCCCAATTGCTTCACATTCCCTGTCGTGATTAAATCTTGCGGAAAAATGAAACGGCTGGTAGAAGGTGAGATGGTGCATTGTGTAGTGATAAAATGTGGGTTTGGAGCAAACCCATATGTGGGAACGACACTGATTGAAATGTATGCAGCTGGGGGACTGATTGGAGCTGCTTACAAGGTGTTTGGTGAGATGTTTGAGAGGAATGTGGTTGCGTGGACTTCCATGATTAATGGGTACATTTTGTGTGGTGATATGGTTTCTGCTCAGCGCCTTTTTGATTTGGCTCCGGAACGTGATATTGTGTTGTGGAACACTATGATTTCAGGTTACATTGAGCTGAGTGATATGGTGGCGGCTAGAAAACTTTTTGATGAAATGCCAAGACAAGATGTTATGTGTTGGAATACGGTTTTGAATGGTTATGCAAGTAATGGGGACATTGAGGCTTGTGAGAGGTTGTTTGAGGAGATGCCTGAGAGGAATGTTTTCTCTTGGAATGGGTTGATTGGAGGGTATGCGCGTAATGGACGGTTCTTTGAAACTCTGGGATCTTTCAAGCGGATGCTAAGTGAGAGTGATTTGCTTCCTAATGATGCCACCTTAGTGACTGTTTTGTCAGCCTGTGCAAGACTAGGAGCTCTTGATTTGGGTAAGTGGCTACATGTATACGCAGAGAGCATTGGGTACAAAAGAAATGTCTATGTTGGGAATGCTTTAATTGACATGTATGCAAAATGTGGGATTATTGATAACGCACTAGATGTGTTCATGAGCATGGATAAGAAAGATTTAATCAGTTGGAACACAATCATTTGTGGCTTGGCAATGCACGGTCGTGGAGCTGATGCCTTAAATTTGTTTAGCCAGATGATGAATTGTGGAGGAAAGCCAGATGCCATCACCTTCGTAGGCATTTTGTGCTCTTGTACGCATCTTGGATTAGTCGAAGATGGCCTTTTGTATTTCCAGTCAATGGTTGATGACTATTCCATTGTGCCTCAGATTGAGCATTATGGCTGTATGGTTGATCTGCTTGGACGCTCTGGTCTTTTGGACCAGGCTATGAACTTTGTGAGGAAGATGCCAATGGAAGCAGATGCTGTTATTTGGGCTGCCTTACTTGGTGCATGTCGGATTTACAAGAAAATTGACTTGGCAGAGTTGGCACTTGAAAGGCTAATCGAACTCGAACCAAAAAACCCTGCAAATTATGTCATGCTTTCAAACATATATGGTGATCTTGGGAGGTGGAAAGATGTTGCAAGACTAAAAGTTTCAATGAGGGATACAGGACATAAAAAATTCCCTGGTGTTAGCCTTATAGAGGTGAATGATGGTGTGGTTGAGTTTTATTCCTTGGATAAGAGACATCCTGAGACTGAGGAAATATATGGTGCCTTGATGGGGTTGACGAAACTGCTAAGATCATCTGGATATGTACCAAACATTCTGGAGCTTGGGCAGGGAGCCTATCACGACTGAGGTATTATCTCTTAATTTATGTGGAGGAACTACTTTTTGTCATTCGCAGTTGTTGGCTTAGAAGAAATTAAATCATCGAAAATTACTTGAAGTGGCACAATGCTGACAGCAATTTGTAATTTTGTAGAGAGGGTCAATCCGCCTGCTAACTAGCTATGCGGAGGACCAGAGGTGACCATCCGTGGTGAGCTTCTTAGAGTATGGTCACCATGCAAGGAAGTTAGAGGCAATAACAGGTCTGGGGTGCAATTTTTCTTTTGCTTGCATTGCTCACCATGTCTTGGAGACAGGCTAAAGCAGCAATTGGCCAACCTACAGGATAGGCTTGAACTAAAATGTGGGCCGAGTTTGACCCTAAATATAAGCGGGTTAAACTGGAACAGACTCATTTACGAACTTTGGCATTCGGTAGCTGATTGGGCTACAATCTACTGGTCAAGTCAAACCCCAATGGGTAATAACAAGTAACAAAATATTTTTAGGTACTTGGACACCCTTTTTCTGCCAGTTTATAGATGTATAGATTTGTGATTGAACAGTTAATTGGTGTCTAGAAATAGAGGCACTCTTAAATTGAAAAGCCATTTTCCATTTGACGCTTATAGGTTCCATTTCAACAGCTCTTCAAATGAAAACCTAGGTTGTTGCCAAATATGTCAATATAAACGTTAAACGAAACTCATCTTCTGAACTCCATACACCAACATTTACATGCTTTGTACATATTGTGTTCACCTCTAAACAATGACTTAATGATCTAGTCATCTCTAAATAAAACAAGGGAGAACGCTTAGTCATGGTAAGTACGGTGGTTATTAATCTTAGATGTCTAGATGACCAATAAATGCAACGTAATCAAGTGATTAAGCCAAGTGGAGGATATACTCTAAGAAAGTTTGTGTAATAAAAAAAGCCTAATCCACATCGTTCACGGAATAAAATTAGTATAACTGGGTCACTAATTTGCATTTGCATTTCTTGTTGTTTCATAATCTGGTTTATCTGCTCTTTTGTCATGCATGTGGATTTATTAGTGAAGTAATTTGATGGGTGTGATTTGGACTTAATGACTAGTTGGCTTTTAGTTCTGGTCAAGTTGCGCCTGCCTCGCAGTAGTAGTCTACTGTCGTTTAATGACGCGCTATGGCATATATTGTTTTTGGCACAGATCATATCTTGACACTGCATTTATGCAGTAGGAATGAGTAATACTATTCATACCATGTTTTTGTACCACATTTTCATACCACCTTAGATGGCATTTGATGTGGACAGCCACATCATCTGAATTAATCAGATTTTTAAATTCAGTTCATTATTTAATAAACTAATAATTAAGAAAAACTAGTTAATTAAATGATGATTGTGGTATATGAGGAGTCTTTCTCCTTCATTTCCTTGGGTTTTGCAAATTTTTCAAATGATGTGGTTGTCCACATTAGATGCCACCTAAGGTGGTTTAGGAATAGAGGTCGCACTTGGTGCGATGGCAAGTGCCTTCGCCCATGAGCGGTAGGTCTCGGGTTCGAGACTTGGGAGCAGCCTCTCCATAAATGGGGGTAAGGCTAGCCGACATTCACCTCTCCCAGACCCTGCGTAAAGCGGGAGCCTTGTGCACTGGGTACGACCTGAACACAGATCTCTGATCTTCAATGTTTAGGAAGTAGACACAGCATCTAATATACCAAACTGGACAGATGCAATTTTCTGAGTAGATCAAATCACACAATGTGTCGAATGACCTTCTACAATGTGTGAGGAAGGAGAGAAAGTCTTTGGTTGCAGACCACTATGCAAGTTTTTCTCGTGAGGAAGCAAGTAATACGACTTCTCATATCTGCACATAAAGCCTAGCATTTAATTACTTTACAAGAGAAATAGAAGTGTTGATACATATTTTGGCCAGATCTTTCTTAAAAATGCTGTAAATTCTTAGACTTATGTTTTGGGTTTTAGTCAAATTAGGGGTCAGTGAGCTCATATTTTCTCAATAGCTGTTCGCTCAGCTATTCCAGAGGTTTATGCAGTTCGGGTTTGATATCTCAGCCAGGGTGAGTTTGTCCATCTTTTGGAATTATTCTTGGTCCAAACATATGATTGGCTTGGAAAAACTTGGTCTAATTGGATTAATGGATAAATTTTGAAAATCCATTAGTGACTTGGTACGAGTTGTATCATCCTATATCTTCTTTACTCTCTTTCATCTAGTCTTGTGTTCATCTCTCTGTAATCATCACTCAACGTTTAGTCCTAAATTCCGACTTAGAAAATTACTGATTGAAACATTTGAATCTTGTTTCTTGATTAGCCTACCAGCCGTGATCAGCAAGTAAATGGCAACCTTGTTGCTCTTTGTTCAGACAAGTAAACGGTATCAGTTCATTGTTCTTATATGTATATTACTAGAGCTGTTGTTTCTTTGGTAATGTATGTCTCTTTTAGCCTTTACCATTTAAGTGGGTGATAGTGTTTTACTGAGTATATTTGAAATCATGCTTCAACCTGCATTAATCACCCATTTATTGCAACCCTTGAGTAGATTCTTACGCTTAACGGCAAAATGAGAAGTTCCAGAATACCTTTTCCTGGCGATGAAGGTGGAGTCGTGCTTGACAAGCAATAAAGAAGGTATCATTGTCAATCTTATGCTTTGTGCTGGTCTATCGGTTGTGATCTTTTTAAAGTAGTAAATTGTATGTGTGGATCTAGGAAGTAGCAAGCCTGTATATTGTTCTACTCAACCGTTAATATTTAAGGAAAACTAGTGAAAAAGGCTTGAAAATTTTGAGTTTAACGAAAATGACAAAAAGGTGTTGTAAGTGAATAGTACCAGGATTAACTTTTAGAGTAAAAATGTGGTTTTTCGTTAAAGTGAACAGTGCCGAGAGCTTTTCGTTAAAGTTCCCCATTTATATTTAAGCTGGACGCACCAACTTTATCAATTTTCTTCTGACCTTCCGATTCCTCATTTTATATGCTAAACTGTTAGTATTTGCACTGGGAAACTTCACATTGCCATTCTCCCAAAATGACAGGTTTTGAAGGGTACAAAGAAGGCAGGTTTCGATTAGGTCTTGCTCTGAAACAAGGGACAAGGTTTTTATATTGGAGGAGAGCACATGACCATACAACGCGTCTTTGACAGTTTTGGACAAAGCTGTTTGTGTCGATGGGAATTTTTCTTTGCTCATGTTTCAGGTACTTAAAAACTGACATCGTTTCCCAATTTTGCATGCACATAAGTTGTTTATAAATGCATGTTTTTACATGTTAACGTGAATAATGAACTGTTTCCATGCTACATTTATCGTCCTTCAATCGGAGATTTTTTTTTTCTCTCTTTCTCTCTCTTTCTCTCTCTTTCATCTCCTAAACAAGCGTGAACGCAGCAACTTTCAAGTTTCCTCCTAAATCAAGGTTTTTGAATCATTATTACGCGAACAAAGACATTAACACTCGGGTGTGTTTTGCCGTTATCTACGTATGGGGTTTCCCCCCTTTGCAATTCGGATTACGAAATTCGCTCCGAATATTGTTTTGCGATTGTACTTTCGCTCAACTGGTTTAATTTTTTTCGAAAATGGAAAACTCGATTGGTAACTACTTTCAGTTTTTAGTTTAAAACCGAGATGAAAAATAAAAATAAAACTGAAAGTAGTAACCAAAATTTCGCTTTTAAGTTTTCTTCTTCTTGTTTTTTTTTTTTTGAAAACTTGAAGTTTTTTAACAAACAAGTATTAAGTTTTTCAATTTTTCAGAAAAGTAGAAAATAAAAATTGGAAACGAAGTAGTTATCAAAAGTTCTTAAAGACATAAATACTTGTATTCGTTTACTAATCTTGATACATAATTAGTCCTGTCAATTCAATAGTCTTTGCTATCTCTTTCTCCGACAAAAAGAAGAAGAAGAAGAAGAATAGTCTTTGCTATCTCTTTCTCCGACTTAGAATTGTATTTCTATAACGTTCAATAGTCTTTGCTATCTCTTTCTCCGACATAGAATTGTATTTCTATAACGTTCGTGTTGAACACACTGGTCAGATGGTCTTCTTCCAGCACTAGGTTCCATAGACTCCATCTTTGGCCACGGTCTCCTCTATTTTCTCTCTCATTTTCCTGTCTAAGCTTGGAAGGGAATTGTCCTGCCCCGATCCCGAGATATGCCAGGGATCGCACATGGTAGCTGAAAGTAGCGATACCATAATACATAACAGTTAATTGGGGCTCATACATAATACATCAAATGAACATCGAAAACAAAATCACAAAGAAAAGGGAAACAAACCCTAGTCTCTAGTGCACTGCACACACCTACACCCATGAGAACTTCTCTAACCGCTACCTGTATTTGCAAAACAACCCTGCACCGAGGAATAGCGCACCGGACAAAGCAAAATCCGGATAAGCTGCGAAGCTCATGTGAATGACAATAATACGACATATGTGATTTAAACCATATTTCACAATCCTTTATATATATAAAATAATAATCATCACTCATAAATCTCGATTGCATCCGCATATGCATCCAATCATCAGTTTCATGCGTCCAAAAGTAATAGGGTTAGAACGACAAAGATCACCTAGTTCCATGTTCTAGAACCTCTCAGGGAATCCGCCAAAAGTTATGTCCCTCTCTTAAATAAATAAAAAACTTAGGGGATGTATTCAATTGGGATTTTGAAGGATTTTAATTCTTGTAATGAATCTAGGGATATTCAATCAGGATTTTAAGTGACTATCTGAAATTCAATGTGTATTCAATCAGGATTTTAAGATAGTTTATTAGAATCCTTAGAAATCCGGGTGTATTTAATTAGAATTTTAAAGAAGTTTATAACATTTTAGGTGTATTCAATTAGAGTTTGAATTTAAAGAATTTGGAAAAGTTGAGGATTTAGAGGGAATTGGAGAGATTTTGTAATGTATTTTAAGCATGCACAAATCTCACATTTCCACATGAGATTTCGAGGGAATTGAATCAAAATTTTACATGGAATCTCTACAAATCAGTTAAACTCCATAAAAATCTATGAAAATCTCTCAAATTCCCAATTGAATAATCTTATAATTTGAATAAATGTGTAATTTCTCCTATCAAAAGCAAGTTTTTCTTTTCCAAACTCGGTTTGATAATTATCGTCCTGCCAATTCAGAGAAGAAGAAGAATAGTCTCCCCCCTTTAGGGGGCCTGGAAAAGTCTATCGTAGACTTGACTTGTATATGATATTGTTGGATGGGAATGTCACGTACAATTTACTCTCCTCCTTTTGGGGGCTGAAAAAGTCTGGAACTGCTACAAACGAAACGACTTGACTTGTAATTTACTCTATAAAAATCTATGAATTTATAAATTCATAAATTTCCAATTGAATAGTCTTAGAATTTGAATAAATGTGTAATTTCTCCTATCAAAAGCAAGTTTTTCTTTTCCAAACTCGGTTTGATAATTATAGTCCTGTCAATTCAGAGAAGAAGAAAAAGAAGAATAGTCTCCTCCCTTCAGGGGGCCTGGAAAATCCATCGTAGACTTGACTTGTATATGATATTGTTGGATGGGAATGTCACGCGGCGTGCAATTTACTTGGAAACTTCATACAAACGAAACGACTTGACTTGGCGGGTCACCTGTATTATAAAGCAACTAACAAGCGGGAAACTTCATACTGCAACCACAACTTTCTCAAGTCATGTTGATCAGATCCTACTCAATGCCTTTTACGGTAGGCTTTGTTCTTGCCATGGCATTTGTTGTTGCTCAAGCACAACGAATGCAGTCGAATATCAGCCGCGGATCTTCCTTAACGCCAACTACCAACTCCTCGTGGTTGTCACGTTCTGGTGTATACGCCTTTGGATTTTACAAGCAAGGAAATGGCTATGCTGTGGGGATATTTCTTGCTGGAATCCCCCAAACAACTATAGTGTGGACTGCGAAGCGAGACGACCCTCCACTCTCCAGCAATGTTACTTTGAACTTCACAAGTGATGGGTTTGGATTGATATCAACACAAGGCCAAAGTTTCGTGATAGAGTATACCTCTGCTTCTTCGGCTTCCATGCTTGATTCGGGCAATTTTGTGATATACAATGCTCGTCAAGACATAGTATGGCAGAGTTTTGAGCACCCAACGGACACCCTTTTGCCGGGTCAGAGCCTGTTTGCTGGGGACGAGCTGTTCTCTGCTAAGTCAGAATCTGATCACTCAACTGGCATTTTCCGTCTGAAAATGCAAGCCGATGGAAACCTTGTCCAATACCCTGTAAATACTCCAGACACAGCTCCATATGCCTACTATTCATCTAGAACGTATGGCAGAAAGAACGTGACACTTAATTTTGGTGCTGATGGCCATCTCTACTTGCTAAATGATACCGGTTCGAATATCAGGAATATAACAGATGGAGGTCTTCCTGCTGATCAAGCAACAATTTATCTCATGAGAATTGATGCAGATGGAATATTTAGATTGTATTCGCATGATTTGAATCACAACGGTAGTAAGTCAATTGTATGGGAATCTTCCAAGGATAAGTGTGACCCTAAAGGCGTATGCGGATTAAATAGTTATTGTGTCTCAATGGATCTTGACGCGAAGTGTAAATGTCTTCCTGGATTCGTATTTGCCAACCTGGGAAATAAGACTTCAAGCTGTAGGAGGATAGTTGCAGATGTTTGCGAATACAAAAACGAAACTTTCCCGTACACCATGGAAGAACTGCAAAGCACAATATGGGAAGACAGTTCGTATGTGGATTTGCCATTATCAGACAAAGAAGCTTGCAAAGGAGCTTGTTTGGAGGACTGTAATTGTGAAGCCGCGATTTTCAATGGTACAAGCTGCAGAAAGCAGAGGCTTCCTTTGAGATATGGAAGAAGAGAGGTTAGTACTCCAAACTTAGAGCTCATCAAGGTAGCTACATCTACGACTGCTCCAGACACAGAAAAAAGAAGCAAAAGAAAAGGAAGAACCGACATCCTGATTATTAGTATCTCACTTGCTGCATTCGGATCTATTTTGTTTGCGATTTCTGTAGTTGTGCTTTGCAAACATAATGTGTGGTCATATGGAAGAGTGAATATTCCCATTCTTGACTCTGAATTGAATGAGGACATCGCTCTGCGACCATATACTTATGAAGAGTTAGAGAAGATTACCAACAATTTTGGAGAAGAGATTGGTAGAGGCGCGTCGGGAACAGTTTATAAAGGAGTGATCTTGGCCAGCCAAAAGCGAGTTGCTGTCAAACGACTACAGAAAGTTACTGCTGAAGGCGAAAAAGAATTTCAGACTGAACTGAAAGTCATTGGGAAAACCCATCACAAGAATTTAGTCCGTCTGCTTGGATACTGTCTTGATGGACCAAAAAGGCTTTTGGTATACGAGTACATGAGCAATGGCTCACTTGCAGATGTACTCTTCGCACCTGACAGACAGCCTTGTTGGGAAGAAAGAATGAGAATTGCTCGCAACATAGCACGAGGATTTCTTTACCTCCATGAAGAGTGTGATACACAGATTATTCATTGTGATATAAAGCCCCAAAACATTCTGATGGATGAGTACATGTGCCCGAAAATAGCCGACTTTGGATTGGCAAAGCTGCTTAAGGCAGACCAAACAAGAACCACAACTGGCATCAGAGGAACCAAGGGATATGTTGCACCAGAGTGGCATAGGAAAATGCCAATAACAGTTAAAGCTGATGTTTACAGCTTCGGAGTTGTTTTGTTGGAGATCATATGTTGTCGAAGGAATGTGGATTGGAGTCTTCCAGAGGAGGAGGCTATTTTGGATGAATTAGCCTACCCTTGTTTTGAGAGTGGTGAGCATGGAAAACTAGTGGGCGAACAAGAGGTCGACACAAGGCAATTTGAACGGATGATTAAAGTGGCACTTTGGTGCATCCAGGATGAACCGTCGTTGCGTCCTTGTATGAAGAAGGTTTTACTCATGCTTGAAGGAACTGTAGAAATCCCAATCCCTCCCAGTCCTAACTCTATTCTCAGCACCATCTAAAGTCAAGTGAGTTGATCAAACCTTACATTTAGTTTATGTAATAAAACAAATGAGCAACGTGTTGAGTTTCACCGCAAGCTTCACTGTCTACAAGTGTCTGTGTCATCGTGAATGATATGCGTATGGTTTTCAGTTCTATGTAGCCTGCTGCGTTATAGGATGCAAATAACGAAATCATTATAAGTATTTCATATTTTTCATCAATCCTTATTCAGGGAAATTGTAGAAAGAATAGGATTTGAGATTGTTGCGTGACAACACAAACGGAGAAAATTGAATGAATCGAACTGAAAATCAGAAAGAGGATCACAACTTGAGA